AGATAGATAGATAGATAGATAGATAGATAGATAGATAGATAGATAGATAGATAGATAGATAGATAGATAGATAGATAGATAGATAGATAGATAGATAGATAGATAGATAGATAAATAGATGCATGCATACAAATTTTTCTATTAATATTCAGATGTTTTGTAATTATTGTGCTTGAAGATTAATCTTTTTTATATTTGTGATTATAAAATATGTGGTTGTCAACGTGGACAACATCATTTCAATGAGTTTCAGGTAAAAAAAAAAAAAAATCATATTTGTCTTTTGACAGCAGCAGTATGTCATTGTTAAAATGCTATTTGGCCCTTTGATGGTTTTGGCTCTCAATTCAAACCCCAGACGTGGCTGTTCTAAGAGCACCAGGAAGGCAAAACCATTACAGAAATGTTAAAGCCAGAGAATAATCACAGAGAGGACCCTCTAGGCTTCTCTATTCTGAATGTCAGGATATAAAGTCAGACTGTGCGCTGTATACTGTGTACAGACCCTTTTGCTAAAATGAAGATACTCGCTTGCTACATGGGTTCAAATTTATGTTTTCAGACTGTGGAAGGAAACCAGACTATCTAGAGAAAGCCTACGCAAACACGAAGAGAACATGAAAACACCACACGGAAAGACCCATGTCCAAACTGTGCATCAACAGTGCAACCACTAAGCCGACGTGCTGCCGTTACAATTACTTTCATGATAATTGTGTTGGGTAGTTGCATTTGAGACATGATCAAGCCACAGTTAGCATGATCAGTTCTGCTAAAGTTTTGTTGTATTGTTATATCACATATTTCTTGAAATAACTCATAAGTTCAGGTTGGATCACAACACCAAGATGGATGACCTGGAAACAAAACAACGTTAAACTTCCATGCCTCTCAGATGAATGACCATTACTCATGGGGACTACAAAGAGGTGGCATCAGCCATAAACACTGACAGGAGTCAAGTGAGCATGGCTGACACAATGACACAATGTTATAGTGGCTTAAATGACTGGTAATATTGGTTACGCTAGAGAACTGTACGGGCAACACAAACGCAAGATGCAAAAACTTCATCTTTATAAAGTGTTGTATAAAAATGAATCTTGAGACAAAACATTTTATTTTTAAAGAAAAATCACATCAAAGCACATAATCTACATATGATAGTGTTCTTTTAAACCAATGTATTTTATTGTCCAAGCCAAAACTACTGAAAATCAGATTAGTGAGGAATCCTCAGTGTTTATTCATATGAATGCTTGTCTGTGCCACAAATTCAAAAACAATGAATGCCTTAACTATTTTTATATCTGAGGAAGGCCGTTAATTTTAAATGTGGTTCATGCATTCTTTCAGGGCACCCTGAATACAATGATTAAATCAAATACGAAACAAATAATAATCTCCAGCTAATTTACACTGTACCTCACAGAGATGAAAATGAGACACAAACAGATGTTTGTACATTTTTTGTACTAAGAATTAAAGTCATTTGAAGATGCACAAATGGTTAATTTTCCACCTTTTTCTTTCCTAATGCCTTGCTGATGAAATGTGAGATAGATAGGTGCACAAGCACACATCAGAACTATTAAATTCATGGTTACAAACGACAGTCTTTACCTGCGTGGCGTTTCAATATTCAGTTTTTAAACAATAAACAAAAAAAGTGTTGTCTTTCCCATTTCTGACCTTGTTGAGTTCTCGCATTAACTTTTCAACATAAATCTAGCACAGCCCATATACTTTACTCGTAACATACTTTGATGCAGCAGCACAACAGGTGAATTATGAATGAACAACATGACAAAGTTTAATCTCAGCATCCCAGCTGAGACCGCTCAAACCCTGAATTAGAAAACAGCATCAGGTTAAATTGCATTGTCCTGTCGTCATTTTCTTATTACGTACAAGATGAAGCTGGTTCTAGTCATTATTTTCCTGTATAATAAAATACCTTAAAATATCACAACAGGATGGATAATCAGTACTATGATACATCAGTGATTTAATTAAAATCATACATTTAAAAAAAAATTCTGGCTTGCTCTCGACGAAGACGGACACTTTCTTTTCCCTCTCCTGCCTCCCTCCTGCTTTTGCTCTTGTCCTGTGAATCTGTCACAGAGCCTCTCTTTACACATCTTCCGAATCGTAAATTATTATGGATCTGGTCAGCTGATCTCTCAACGCAATTAATACAATTTTCTTGACGAGAAGACAGTGTGCAGGAGAACCCTCATGCCCTGAAGGGACACATGCAGCTGGATATATCATGGATTCCTGGGGCGAGTGGAAGATGATGTGCCTGTCCGAATTGTCCGTTGAGGACGCTGAAGACGTTGAAGAAATATACATAATTAGATTGATGATATCAGGGCTTCTGCTTTTTGAAATCGCAGGTATCTGGGATATCGACAAATTAGGAAAACGTCAGCAGCAGTTTTGGCAATGGTGAGGCTGCCTGCCTTATGTGAAGGATTGCACCATGCTTTGAGCGCTCAGACTCAGATGCTTTGCGAGCTAAATCGTAAGCTGGAGGCAATTTCTGAGAATCGCAAGCCACTGCGGCTCCTAGAACTCGCTGGCATGAAGGAATTGACCTTGGAGAAGCCTACAAGCATGGAGCAAGCAGAGGAATGACCACAAATCTGGCTGTTTGGATTCACCATTGAGTGTACCAGCAGAAACTATGACGGCAGACAGAAAATCAGTAGTCGGCCTGTCCCAAAACAATTGTTGTTGATCTGAAACTGGCTCCCCCGTTTGGCCTTGGATAGACCAGCTTATCTCAAATTGCTCCTGGAGGATATGGAAATCATGAAGCTCTGCTCTGCACTGGTTGAATTTTAAATACATTTTTCAAAGAGCAATATCTGAATGTACATCTACAGCTGATTATATTTTGGAGCCAAGCCAATTCAACATGCTCTCCATGGCCAACTGACTTTAGAAAACACAAAAAATGGTTATAATTCAGTACATTTGATATATATTGGGCTAAAATCAGTTGTGGTTGTACAACCGAGCATCATTTACAACACATACATACTCTAAGTGCTACTCATCTTGCTAAATCTTTCCTTAAAATTTAATTTTATTCTTTTTTTTTTGTTTGCAAAATACCTCTTGAACCACTGCAAGGAGTTCAAAGAAACTGTCAGAAAGTACTGACTTGTGAAATCAGTCCAAGTCAAGATAAAACCACTACCGGTAATCTCCTGATGCATGCTCAATAATCCAGGTAGAAAAATCCAAAAAAGTTCAATCTGGTCCTCTGGACATTCAAAAAGAACAAACAAAAAAAAAAAAACAAAGCAAAAAAATCTAGAAACGTTTTGTCTCTCATCCAAGAGACTTCCTCAGTCTGAGGAGCTGTTTTCAGCTCAGTCTCTTAAATAGCACCGTCTCAGAGTGGATCAACCAGTTTTGCTGCTGACAACCAAAACCAGCTGATCACATGCTCAAGAAGGACCATCAGCCTAACAATGGATCATTAGCACACTGATGGCTGTGTGGCTGTGTGCAGACTGAGCTGAATACAGCACCTCAGACTGAGGAAGTCTCTTGGATGAGAGACGAAACGTTTCTATATTTTTTTGCTTTGTTTTTTTTTTTTTTTTTTTTTTTTAATGTCCAGAGGACCAGATTGAACTTTTTTGGAACTACCGGTAATCAACAATGCACCAATTAAAATTGGTTCTGATTCATTCAGTCTTTATAGATGTTGAGCTAAAACATGATGTGGTAGTAACCAAGAGTGATGCACAACCCACGCTTTGAGCGCAACATTTCCTTGTGTTACACAATGTTTGATCAAAACGGCTACAAATCAGTTATTTTTCAACATGAGATGATTTCAGATCAAAACTCTGACATGAAATATCAAAATACATTCCTTCAGCAATATTTTTTTAATTTAGGTGTTAATGAGTCAGAATAAATATCTCATGCATCATGTAGTGTAACAATATTTGTAGCATTTAAAAAATGCTTGAACAAATAATACATTGATTATTATTAGTTCAAGATTTTCTGTTAAAGCTAAGAAATTTAAATACAAAAAAAAGAGCATTTTCTCTTATAACGAAAAAGGAGCAAAATTAATTTTATTTACGGACATAATTTCAGTGTACTGGACATCAGTTTATGTCAGATGAGAACATATATTTTAAATAAACTAATTATCTGTATATAGGCCTTTGTGTGGCTATTTATATACAGACAACCTATTGTGATAATTTAGACTGAAGCGGGCAAAAGTCCAGTGTTTAAAAAATAACAAAATAAAACTTTTACAATTTCTATAAATCAATTATTAAATATATACAGTGGTTGGTGTAAGGAGGAAAAAATGTTACAATGAGCTGTTTCCTTTACGTCTCTGCTTTAGTAAAATAAATAACTTGCTCTCCTTGAGATGTCGTAAATGTCAG